GTGTGCAGTGGAACTCGTGGCCCGTAAAAGGAGCAGATGCTGGCCCGAGAGCGACTCATCCAACGCCGCGACTTGTCAAGACTGGGAATCCCTGGAAGCACATCAAGGAACATGTTCAAAGTTCAAACACTTCCCTCTGCCCCGAGTCAGTACGTCACCGAGGTTCACCGCGCATGCGCCCCGCCCTTGCGTGCATGATCGTCGTCAGTGTGACCGTTTATATTGATTTTTCATCTGATATATAGGCATACTGTCCATCTTACTGGTGATTTCACAGGAACCGCGGTAGATGACGGACAACGAATGGATATTTGGTAAACTATTACCCCCTATCAGCACTTACCTATCATTGTTGGGATAGACGTCTCAGCAAAACAATGCTTGGCAACGAAGTGCCTGTCAAATTTTCACAATAATGGCGTCGTACGGCCCGTGCAAAAACAATCAACCACTGCACTTGTCTACCGTTAACCTAACTCGCTACCCTACGCTAGTAGCAATAACCAAGTAGTGTTTTCGTTGTCTTTCTCGACGAGAGAGGTCTCTGTGCGTGTTCGGTCTACCCTGTCTGATTAGCAGTGTTGTCGTGCAGTGCGTGACATGTTGCCAGACGGACGAGCATTTTCGGCAGACAGCCGCTGACAGGGCCTCACGCCGGTCGCCATCCTACCGACTCTGCACGGGAAATACCCCCACAAGTACGGTCCCGACGCTCCTATCCCACTTACCGCTGGGCTGGCGCCACGTGTCACTGAACTAGCTGTAAAACTCGGGAGGGCGTCTCAGAAACATTGTAGCTCTAAATTCGATAGAGAGCTATTACTATTTACCATCTCGTAGGAAATGTTTCCCCTATTCCGCACCTAACTTATTGACAGACTAACGCCGATAAACGTACTTGACATATCTACTGACATTCAGCGTTCGCGTAGCTTGCGTGTGAGTGCGTCGGTTCCTACAGAGAATGTATCCAGATGACCCGGTTAAATAACATCACATCTGCCTCCCCCCCTCTGCTCCCCCGCTCGCCTGCCAGCTTCTTACAGAGAGGTTGATCCAGTGACACGCTCGGATACCATCACATCTACCCTCCTCCCTTCTCCCCGCTCTACCTGCCAGCTTCCTACAGAGATGTATTCCTGACCGCACGTCGTCTATCCCATCACATCTGGCCTCCTCCCTCTCATCCCTCCTCCGCTGCAGCTTCTTACAGAGATTATATCGTGACACGGTATAACATCACCTCTGGCCTCCTCCCCTCTCTCGCCCACGTCCCTGCGCTTCCTTACAGAGATGTAATTACTGACGACGGGGTATACCCCATCACATCGTTCCTCTGCCCCTTCTCCCCGCTCCCTGCAAGCCCTACAGAGATGTATCACTGACACGGGTGCTCAACCTCGACATCTGCCTCTCCCCTTCTCCCACGCGCTCCCTGCCCAGCTTCTTACAGAGATGTTCAGTGACCCGGTATAAACATCAACATTCTACCTCCTCTCCTTCTTCCCACCCCCACCTCCCTGCAGCTTCTTACAGCCAGATGTATCAGTGACACGGGTATCTAACACAACCTCTACCTCCTCCCTTTCTCCCCACGCTCCCTGCAGCTTCGTTCACACGAGATGTATCAGTGGACACGGGTATAACATCACATCTGCCTCCTCCCTTCTCCCGCATCCTGCAGCTTCTTACAGCAGACTGTATTACTGACTACGGGTAAAACATCACCCTCTGCCTTCCTCCCGTTCTCCCCGCTCCCATGCAGTTCTACAGAGATGTATCAGTGCACACGGGTATCGCACATCACATCTGCCTCCTCCTTCTCCCCACACTCTTCCTGCAGCTTGCTACAGAGATGTCAATTCTGATCACGGGTATAACTCATCACATCTACCTCCTCCTTCTCCACG